CCTGAAGTTCCACGACAATCTACAGTGCCGCATATTGACGAAAATCCCACTTTTCATGCAGTGACCGCAGGACAATAAATGAAAAGACGTTCTTTGGAACCATCTCTTCTTATAATCGTCCGTCAGCACAGAAAGCAGGGATCTTATGCTGTGCAGCTTACAATGCAAAAACTGAAATACTCAAATATATGCAAAAAACAGCTAAAGCTCATTTACTAGTGTTGGCTGTTCAGATTTGATGCATGCTGCATTTTTTTATTTCAACTTTTTAAATTATGCTGCACTACTCTGATGAAATCTAACTAAGTTCAACAATATTATAAGGTATACAAGTGTCATTACATTTTAAGTATAAATTTGTCTTTTTGCAATAACATTGGACTTTTTTTGTGACACACTTGTTTAACATTTTTGAGGAAAGTCAGTGAATTGACCCCTCTATACTTTTCTGGGTTTTTTTGTTGTTTTTTTTTATTAAAGGCAAATCTAATTCATAAAAGTTGTCACCTTGTCTCATTTACAACAAAAAGAGATGGTGAACTTAAAAGGCTTAAAGATCACTTCCTGAGCCGTTGATGTTCAGAAATACTAGATTTTACTGACACTGATATATAATTTATTGTTAACGTGTTTAAAACAATCATTAAGTCTTAATTAAAGAGCAGTCATCATCTTAAGAGACCAAGTTAGAGTTTACTACAGGGTTAAACCAGTTGTGAAGAGCATCTAAACCTAAAATTCACCACATCAAACAGAGCCATGTCCCATTAATCATTATACAGAAGAGATGATCTGTTCAGGGTTGAGAATTTTTACTTGTAGTATGTTCCATATGAAATAGATGCTGAGACTCTTTGTTTGCAGCACCATCAGAAATGGATAGAGACACATCTTCATTACCCTGCACAAACACAGAAGAGTAACTGGGACAATGGACCACCCACTGTGCCTGACACATATGCCATGTTAGACACCTAAAATAAGAGAATGAAATATGTGCCCAACCTTCCTTTGAGTGATTAGAACAAGTCGACATTATAGCCAGCATATTATTCAGATACTACCAGTCTTTAAAAGGTTCCTGTTTTTAATCCGACCTGTTTCCAAGTCATCTTTAGTCCAGTTATGTTAGTTCTATATTAATATTGATAAGAAGTTCTATATTAATATTGATTGTTTCGTTTCCCATTGGGATAAATAATTTTTTTTTTTTACTAAATTGAATTTAATTAATTCAGAATCAACAAAAAAAAGTAAAATAAATAAATCAGCTGCCAGATTCATGTGTTATAACATGGTCCTTAACATCCTACACTAATCCACATTAAAACAATATTAGAATGACTTCAGAGTAGAACTAGACTTTAATATTTTAAACTAACAGGGCAAAGAAAGCAGTGCAGAAATTAAGTGGTGAGGTTATACAACGTGGTGCGACAGACCACATTGTCCAGGGTGTACAAATGGAAGTACGGTTTGTTGGTTATACAATGTGAACGCAGTCCAAAAGGCAGAGAAGTACCAGAGTTTGTGCTCACTGATTTTTATCCTCTCATCTTGTGTGACACGATAGGATAAGCCTGAATGTATCAGTAAAAGCGTTTCGTCACCACATAGGTGTTATCTGTTACCAGCAGATGTTTCCTGTTTAGCTGTGCCCATGTTTGGACAATTCACTATGGACTTTGCATACAAACTGTCAACCTTCTTCAACATAATGATCTCTGTTGGAATGTTCCCCGGTCGATGGTGAAAAATTAAGGATTGACCTAAATATAGCAGGCAGAAGAACCCTAAAAAAACATCCAGATGTATAATGTAATGCAGAG